TTGAGGCAATAGGAGTCCACCGCTGGATGTAAGGTTGCGAATAATTTTCAATATTAGTCTTCTCTTACGTACGTTTCGACTTTATTTTTTAAGTCATCTGCAGCAATATCAATTAATTATAAACGCTTTCGGAACTCATCTAAGTAAAATTAACTTCCACATCAGTTATCTAGCTGAGTGAACTAATTTCGTACTTGCTCTATGAGCCCAAATCAAACACTACATTGTAATCCAATCTAATATACATAATACCACTCTGTTACATATAATAAAACAATTTCATAATTATTATACATTTTCAATGTTGCTTGTTACAAACTCAACATGAGACATGAATTTGTAACAAGCAACATTGAAAATGTATAATAATTATGAAATTGTTTTATTATATGTAACAGAGTGGTATTATGTATATTAGATTGGATTACAATGTAGTGTTTGATTTGGGCTCATAGAGCAAGTACGAAATTAGTTCACTCAGCTAGATAACTGATGTGGAAGTTAATTTTACTTAGATGAGTTCCGAAAGCGTTTATAATTAATTGATATTGCTGCAGATGACTTAAAAAATAAAGTCGAAACGTACGTAAGAGAAGACTAATATTGAAAATTATTCGCAACCTTACATCCAGCGGTGGACTCCTATTGCCTCAAGGATATTGTGATTTTTAGAATATAAGGAGTTATTAACTTTGTTTATTGTTAATATTAACTAAAGATCATTGGAAATTATATAATTTTTACATAGATATATGTGAAATACTTACAGTTCATGCTGAACGTGAGAATCCATGTTGATGTCGAAATCGTTTGAGTAACTGATGCAGTAACGTTGTACGAACCGCTTTTAAACTGTACCCCCTCCAACGTTTTTAAAAATGCAGCGTTTGCAGATATGCAGCTGCAACATTTTTGCAAAAGACACGTACGGTGATGAAATCATCAATGTAATTCAATAATTTAAAAATGCAACGTTTGCAAATATGCAGTTGCTAAGAAAGAATTTTGCACAATACAGATTTTTAGATACGTACGGTGATGAAATCATTAATGTAATTCGATATTTAAAAATGCAACGTTCCCAAGTTCTGTTTAAGATCTTTTGCAAAAGACACGTCCGGTGATGAGAACAGTAATGTAATTTGATACAAATGCAACGTTGCCAAATTGCACATTTAATAGTTAAGAGATGCGACGGTGCCAAATAGATTGACATAAAACGTAAAGATTTAGACGTGTCATTAGTCAATCTAGCGACATGGAGCGAGATTTCATAGAGCAAGCTACCCTGCTTAGTACCAGAGAAGAGTACGCCGCATGGGAACAGCGATGCGACGAATTCATCGAATCTTTGGAAGAACA